AAGAGTAAAATTTAATATTGTGAAATATTATGAACTGTTTTCTATTTTAATATATTTTTAAATGTAATTTATTCCTGTGATGCAAAGCTCCAAACTCCAGACTCTTCAGTGTCACATGATTCTTCAGAAATCATTCTAATATGCTGATTTGCTGCTTAAGAAACATTTCTTATTATTATTGAAAAAATGTTGTGGTACTTAGTATTTTTTATGGAAACAGTGCTGTGTATATATATATATATATATATAAACATTATAAATGTCTTTACTGTCACTGATAAATGACCTCAGGGCAACAGAGCACCATTTCAATGTTATGTTAAAAGTGGTACAACTACAAATACAGTATGTACATATACCAGCTTTGATATTCCCTCTATGGACATGCTGACACATGTCCTTTCCTGAAAAGCCCAAACATGCACACTGTCTCCTCTACATCCCTCCTCTTACTTCCACTCTTTCACCATCAATTATTTTCACCTTCTCTCAGCTCTCTGCAGCTCATCATTTCCAAAAGAAGCCCTTCATCATGTCGAGTGTGTGTATGTGTGTGAATTGCCGGTATAAGGCAGCATTAGCTTGGGCCCAGATGAAAACACACTCTTGACAGGGGATTGGTGAATATTGGCTCTTGAGGTGCTTGCAGATGTTTTTTTACGTGGCGGTCAGATTACTGTGTGCGTGAAGAAAATCTGACTGAGCCTGGTCGACTCCTGCAAAACCCAGGTTAATGTCAACATCAAACGGCATTCGCAACCCATATTTCTGGGTGAAACTGGATATTCAAAAAGAAAAAAATGTACTTCAAATACATTTTACTCTATTTACCCACGTCTGTCTCTTTCATGCACTGTTACACTCTCATTCCATCTGGTGGGCACATTTATCTTATATGTGACCTTGTCTGTGAATACATACTGCTGTTTCTCATAAACACCTCACAACAGTTATCTTACTGTAGATTAATTCTACTTCCTCACTTTCACATTAACACATTATCTCTTACTAAATCTTTTCCTTTCTCACACTTTTGGAAGTCTTGTGATGAATAACCTAACTAATGGAGACCTATTTAACTCTAATATTCCACTGTTAAATATTTATCAGTAGTTAATGAGAGCAGTTATCTTGGCTTTTTAGAAGATAGAGAGATGGAAGATTAAACCTTGTTTATTCATTGATCCTTGTTCTGTAACATTTGCCATCTGCTCTTTTTTTCCTGCTCTTGTCCGTCATACCTGTTTGTTTGTTTTTTTCCAAATGAAATGTGCTGCCATGCATCCTTCTGATTCAACAGACCCATTTTTCTAAATGGCTGTTTGTGTTTTTATTTAGGGTCTGGGAAGTCTGGAGCCAGCAGAAGCTCTTTAAAATGGCTTTGTATCTCTTTTAGTGATTGTGTAGACTATTGTGTGCTTCCAGTTAATGCATGTAGTTGGACTTGGCGATTATTGGTTAGCACGTGAAACAATACATTTAGCTATGGAACTCGCATGTTTTACCCATCTTTCTTCTTATTTTTTGTCCTCTTGCTATGTTATGAATAAAAATGGAAAAAACAGAATAAAAAATCCTGCATGTAGTTGTAATAGTGTACATTAATAATACAAAAATATACTGTCCAATACAATATAATTTGTTTTTTTTTACATAAAACTATAGATATATATTTTTTATTTTAAAAGATAATGCATAATATATTTACAATGGTTTTAGTGGAGGCATGGCACTAGTTAATTGAATATGAATAAATATATGAATAAAAGATAGATGTGAATAAAAATGAACAAAGAATAAACATTGTAGATTAAAAGTAATATATTAAAATTATTTATTTTTTAAAATTTTATATATACAGTATATATATTTATATATATGCTGTATATATTGCACATTTCAATTAACTAAATTGTATTACATAACAGTATGTTGTATGTAATTTTATTAAAGCAAAATGCCTTATAGCCTTTCCTTAGCTCAAACAGTGGAGGATGGTATTAGCAATGCCAAGGTAAGCATTTAAATTCCCTGAGAAAGCAAGAACTGCTAAAATATGTTCCTTAAATGCAATGTAAATCCCTTTCTGCCAAATGCATAAATGTAAATGCAAAAAATATCCCCAGTATAGTGTCGTCTCTTTTTTTTCTAGCAGTGTAGCCTGTAACCTTATTTCTAATATGCCTCAAGCTTTTATGAATGGCTTTTCTTCATCAGTTAAGTGACTCGTCTCATTAATACTCAGACGCAGTTGTATGAATCAAAGCTCTAGTGGCTCCTGCTGAATTCATTGTCCTTATGTTACCTGGGGATCAAGTATCAGCCAGAGGGCATGTGACACTTTGTCTTTATATAAAGCCAGTAAGACATTCCACAGAGCCATTGGTTTCCAGCAGTCATAAAGAACAGTGTCCCATAGAGCTGTTCTCCTGTTGGCCAGACACACTGGCAGAGCAGAAACCCTATTGGCCCGGGTAGTGATTTCATAGAGGAAAGAAAGAAACCGTAAGTCAACACTTAAGTCAAATGGAATATGTGTGCCGAATCATTCGAAGTGTTTCCGAGTGCTGTGGGAAGAGATTGCGCTAAGGACTCTTGCAGAATGTCATCTGCTTATGCGTGTCATGACGCTGGCGGCCCTCAGGCACCCCTCAGGCTGAACTGATTCTGCCCTTCTGCGTTAGACTCTGTAGAGCTGTACTACAAAGCTCTCGCTCCACGCTGTGGTCACAGGCTGCACTTCTTCTGTTCAAATCATCTCCAAAAGCTTCTTTGACTAGACTGTGTGCAACAAAAGCTTACATACGAAGTAAAGAAGCATCCTCAGATAAGGCATCAGCATTGTGGTGCATTTTATTGCCGTCATGTTCTGTATCAAAGTTATTCTTGGCAACTGGAAAGATCCATTTACATGTTATAATGCAATATAAAACTGCTAAGTCAGCTTATGTTTTATGATCTCTGAAATTCTTCATGCTCAGCCATTCTGAGATTAATCATTGAAACTGGATCTCTGGTGCAGAAACAGCTTCACGTCCAAAGCTTGTTCTGCACTTTTTAACTAATAAAGGCATTGAGAAAATGTTAAGCCATTACTTAATGGAAGCTTAATGCAGTGTGTCAAACTTAATGATTTTTCACTGTGCCTCTTGAATACAGGCGCCCTAAAATTACATTGCATGTGTTTTTAGCTCATTTGAATGAAGGTAATGCTAGCAAAGGTTAATATTGCAGCATTAAAGGTGATAATGCCAGTGGCAGAGTGACTTGTTTGGGTTGTCGCTTGGCCTACTTAGCTACAACTCCCATTTCTCATGGCATCAGGTTTCTCTACAGGTGCAATTTGGAATGACCAAATGTAATCACATGATATTGAGGACACCACTTAGCTTATGGTAAACAGACCATGTCCCATACTAACATTTCATATTTGACGCCCTCTTCCTTTGTGTATGTATATACACTAGCACTCTCACACATTTCCAGTTATACCTGAAAGCCTATATCGAGGGAGCATGACTAAGGGATGGCATGGGGTGGAGTTATTTTGGGATCCCTGGGAAAAGGTCTCATGTAGACTGTAAGGGAGATTTGATGATGGGTACATTGAGTGTTAATGGGGTAGGGGTGTGTTTTTGTGAGTATGAGTGTGTGTGTCATCTAATGGAAAAATCAGCAGATGGCTTGTCTACATTACTCTCTCTGTGGAGATACTGTGTGGTCCCTTCTTTTCTATGTTGGCCCCTGGGATGGGGAGAGGCTGGAATTTCGACCTGGAGTTTCAGAGGTTAGGAGAGTGCATGGTACAGTTCAGATAGCAACACGACTCCATTCTGAAATTCCCACATTTATTTTGTGACACTTTATGTGAGTGTTTATGTACTGGGTGGATTACCTTTTTATGCTATCCTCATGAGTATGTACCTAGAGCTTATCCAGAGTCTAGACGTTGTAAAAATGTCACGTCTTAATATCATTAAAGGGATTAGTTTACCCCAAAAATAATTTTGTCGTCAGTGAGTGTGTTTATGTACATATCTTAACCTTATGCCTAATAATCTGACAGTTTGTAAGGTCATACATGGATTAAATGCATTAAACAGTGCTGTTTTATCAGGTAAAAACCAGAAACTTTTTAATAAAAAAAACAAACAGATTGTGCACCAATATTTTTATACAAATTTCGCTATGCATGTAGACTATGCATGCATGCAGACTTGCTATGCATTATCTAGTTTTTAAAACAAGTGGACTTTTTATGGTTCTGAGCATATTCTTGTTCATGTAAACATTTTTTTTTCATTCCAAATGTTGTTATAAAGCAGCATGACTTTCTTACATGAAACACAAATAGAGAAATTTTAAATAATGTATTGTTTTCTCTTTTCCATACAATTACAATCTATGGGGACTGAAGCATCATGGTATTTTTTTTTAAAGCTGTAAAACTTCAGTTCTCATTCATTGTAATTGCATGGAAAAGCACAAACCATATATTCTCCATATGTGTCCACCAATAAGTCATACAGGTTTGGAATGACATAAGGGTGAGTAAATGATTACAGAATTTTAGTTTTTGGGTGAACTGTTCCTCCTAAGGCTGGAATGCAATGAAATCGGAACATATTTTAAAACACTAGACATCATACACTTGCCAAGTTTGTAAATGGTTACAGAGAAGATCTGGGTATCATATACTAAATGGCTGTGGACTTGCAGGTAGTTTGATCACAAAGAAACATGAGCCTTGTTACTAGAAGATGCATGGCAAATGAAAATGTGTTCTAATTTAAACACAATCATCTTAAAATTACAAACATGTTTGATATCCATAGAATCATAGTCTGAAGATAAAAATCAGAATCTGTACCCATCATACACTACGTGGTGTTCTGTGATATCTGTCGACTCTGACTGCCCAAAATCTGGCTCAAAATCTAGTTCTGATCACTCTAACTTTGTAATTTTTTGTTTTTCCCCCATCCTCATTTTTCTTTCAGGATGAACAGGAGGTTCTGTTAGAAAACGTTTCTTTCATGCCTTGATTGTTCAAGCAGATACATGAAGCGGCTGAAGGTTTTAAGCCAAAGCAACAACACCCTAAAGAACAAACAAATGAGCTGTCTTTTCACATGATGCCTTCAGCTACTTATGCATAGGGTTGATATATGGATGAGAGGAGTACCATACAAAAAGAGAGACACCGGAGCGGCGATTCCGTCGCAGGCTATGGGGGCCATGGTGACCTAGAGTCAATAGTCATTTCCTGGCAGGACAACTTGATTCCAGTTTAATCCCTGCTTGCTGCTCTCTTTGTCTTCTACCTCCCTACCAGAGTGAGGCGCCACCCTCTCTCTGTTCCTGCCAAGACAGCTATGGCTGGAGTGAGGAAGTTGGCACGAGTAGTCAGGCACCAGGGTCTCCACCACCTGATCTTTGCACTCATCCTCTTCTGTCTACTCTCCATGGCCTACTTGGCTTATCACGTCAGTGCTGGACCCAAGATCAAGGAGGCCCCTGTGCCATTACCACTGGGGGACTGTGTAGCTACATCGGTAGTTGGTGGCGGACAAAGGACTCCACTGTTCCTGCCATCACAGGTCAGCCAACGGCGACACTCGGCGAGGACAACAGACACCTCTCGGATGGAGCCTGTGGTGTTACTCTTTGTGGAAAGCATCTACTCCCAACTTGGACAAGAGATCGTAGCCATTTTAGAGTCAAGCCGCTTTCATTACCACACTGAAATTGCACCGGGGAAGGGGGACATGCCTCCTTTGGCTTGGCGAGGTCGTGGCCGATACACCCTCATCGTCTATGAGAATCTGCTCAAGTACGTCAACTTGGACTCATGGAACCGCCAGTTACTGGATAAATACTGCCAAGACTATGGAGTGGGAATCATTGGCTTCTATCGGGCAAATGAAAACTCCCCATCCAGCACTCAGCTTAGAGGCTTCCCTCTCTTCTTGCGTTCAAACCTGCCACTTTGGGATTACAAAGTCAACCCTGCTGCACCCCTGCTCTACATCACCAAACCTAATGAGCTGGAACCTGGCCCTTTACCTGCGGACAACTGGACCATCTTCCTGTCCAACCACAGCACTTATGAGCCTGTGCTGTTAGCTAGCCCCAAACCAGCAGAACCCAATCAGCTCCCAACACACTCACACCAACAGAGAGCACTGCTGGCTACGGTTATGCAGGACCTAGGTCTTCACGATGGGATCCAGCGGGTGTTCTTTGGAGGTAGCTTGTCTTTTTGGCTGCACAAGCTGCTGTTCGTGGATGCTGTGGGTTATTTAACTGGCAGAAGGCTCAGCCTCTCGTTGGACAGATTTTTGCTTGTGGATGTGGATGACATCTTTGTTGGGAAGGAGGGGACACGCATGAAAGTGGCAGATGTTGAGGTATGAGCCTTAAAAAGTTATTGGATATGCTCGCCAAGTGTGATTCAATTTATTCTGACTTTTCCAGGTGTAAGACATTGAGTGCTTGCCAAAACTACCATCACTGATACTGTTAGTCATATTAAGTGACAGGGCTATATGATTTTGGGAAAAAAATTGAATGACGATTTTTGATAATAAAAAAAATAAATAGTGTTTGTATTGTGAAATGCGATTTTTTTTAAGCTTCAGGTTTGCTGTACTGCAAAATTTGGCCCAAATGTTTCTGATTATATATGAACATGACTATAAAAAAATATGATATGAAAATTTACTATTGTAATATTTCACTGTAAAATAAAATTGTATTATAAAAGTACTAATATTTATGACTTAAATTTTAAATGTTAAACCAAAAAAAAAAGTTAATTGAGACGCTTGTTGAGGTGTGCTGTTACTTTTAAGCAAGCAGACTTAAAGGGATAGTTCACCCAATAATGAAAATCCTGTCATCATTTACTCACCCTAGAATTGTTTCAATACAAGTTTATTTCTTCTGTTAAACACAAAAGATACATTTTTTTTTTTAAGTTTATGGTCCCCATTGACTTTCATATTATTTTCTTCCATACTATGCAAGTCAGTGGGGACCATCAACTGTTTGGTTACCCATATTCTTCAAAATATCTTCTTTTGTGTTCAACAGAAAAAAAAAACTCTTACAGGTTTGGAATAACTTGAGGGTGAGTAAATGTGAACTATCCCTTTAAGATTTTGATTTGTTTCCCCCATGGTAGCCGATGAAAAACCTATCCCCATAGACTTGCATTGAACCAAAGAGTTCAGTCATTTCAAGTGAATGGAATATCATGGAGACTTGTGGGTGGCTGTTATGACTTGAGTCAATGTGCAACCATCTAGCAACTGCCCAGATCACCCTAGCAACAGGCAAAACCACATTAAATGTCTCAGCAACCACCATTTTTTATGAGAAAATGTAACAAAAAAAAAAAAAATCTTATTTGCTGATATGAAATCATCAGTTTGTGGGGTGGATAGGGAATTAGACATCAGTCAGACCTGACCCAGTTTGTCTTCCATCAAAGGTATCTTTTGTTTGAATAATCCGAATTCTTTATTCTCAGAGCTTCTCTCTGACGGCCGTCACACTCCCAGAGCTCCTCCATGACTGAATTGAAGCTAATGAATTAGCACACTTAATACGGATCAGGGAGATGTATTCTCTCTCTGCCGTTGTTTGTAGAGAGCCGTGATTATTGTGCGAGAGGGAGAGCTTGTTTGTAATGCAGTGGAGCATGGTGTTCTTCTTTCACCACCCCTCTCTCTCTCCCTCTCTCCCATCTCCTGAGAGTGAAAGAAAGCTCTCGCTGAAGGCTAGCATGGGGCTAATTAGACTGGCTCACTTTTTAATTTGGGCAGATAAGTTCTCATAGGGGGCTGCGTGGCCCACCACACCAAAAGCAATGTCATGCCTGAGGTTTTTGGTTTAACATTTCTCTCTCTTTCCCTCGCTTTTTCCCCCTGGCAAGAGCTATGATTTTTCATCTTTTGTTCTATCCTTATTTCTTTTCACCCTTTATCTTCCTTGCCTTTTTTGTCTCTGCAAGATCTGCCCTCTTTTATCTACCTCTTCTCCAACCTGCATGTGTATAATATCAAAATAATATACTTGATATAACTAGGGCTGCCATTATTGCTGGTAGACTATGTGATGGAAGAAATGTCAACCTGAAACTTTTATACAATGCTAGATATATTTGTGTGGCTATCAGAACCACTTTATTTTTTACACCTGGGAAAACAAAACACTGAATAATGCATAAATAGAGGGCAAAATGTGTCCAAGTCAGTATGAGGAAGAACCTGAATATAAAGTGTAGCTGTTTACTGTTGTTTATGTTGCATCTGCCATATTAATACAGAAATGAAGTGATGTGCGGTCACAGTTTTGAATGTGACTTATCCAATCAGAGTTTAATGCTTATCCAAAATAGGTTTTAACACATGGCTATTCACTATATCTACAATTGTCTTTGTTAACTTACAGCAAAAAGGCTAACTGTTCTGCAAGATATCATCACTGTGACTCATATTGTGATATAACATTAATTCCACCCACCCTTAGCTGCTTCATATACCCTAAAATAATGATGCTCATCAGTCAGCATCTATGTTATTTAGATTATGTATGTTTGTGCCAGCTGAAATGTTTTATCTCCCTCCTCTCTAGGCGCTGCTTCACACACAAAATAAACTCCGTTCTCTGGTACCTAATTTCACCTTCAACCTGGGATTCTCTGGCAAGTTTTTTCATACAGGTATGATGAAGTTGATGGTTGTGTGAGTTATAGAGATAAAACCATCTCCACCTCCACACGCTCATTTATCGTCTCTTTCTGGTCTTGTTCTTCAGGTACAGATGAGGAAGATGAGGGTGATGACACCCTGCTTCGACACCGGCAGGAGTTCTGGTGGTTCCCGCATATGTGGAGTCACATGCAGCCTCATCTCTTCCACAACGTCAGCGTACTCGCAGAACAGATGAGACTTAATAGACAGTTTGCACTGGTCAGAATCTGCCCTGATACATGCCAAATAATATGCTGTTCAATTCTCGATTCTGATACATGATATTGAATTGGTTTTCCATGGCTGTAAAGTAATGTTTCTTTCAGGAGCATGGGATCCCGGGCATCAAGGTGACCAGCACAGAAGAGTATCCTCATCTCAGGCCTGCCCGCTACCGCAGAGGCTTCATACACAATGGCATACAGGTGGGAACTCAAGTGCACTTACAGTACCTCCAATTAACTATGTGTCTGTTTGGGTGCATTCTAGTGTCTAGCAGAACAGCTAGACTAAATGCAACAAAATGTAGCACAGGATGCATGCTATTTTTATCTCGATGCAATGATTATGGTGCAAAATGCTCAAAAACTGTGCGATGCAGCGGATAAAGACATCCATGTGAATGCATGTGGCTCAGCAGAGGTGCTTTTAAGACGTGTGTAATGATTGCTGTCTAACAGCTAATGCATGCAGCACGCTGTCAACAATGGCAGGTATTAATGTGTCAATTATAAACTGTAACAGTTCTGCCTTTTGGCTATGCTGACGCCTTAATTCAGAGCAAATATGTTTGGTATCTTTCCCTGCATGGAATATCTTTTAAAAAATAATGGTATCACTTTACATTAAGGTTTTATTTCATCAAAATTAGTTAATTCATTAAGTATCATACACTTTTACAGCATTTCTTAAAAAAGGTTAATGGTCAACATTTTGGAAAAATGTATTAATTTTTTTTAAGACATCTAATGTTCACTAAGACTGAATTTATTTGTTTAAAAAAATACAGTAATATTTTGAATTATTATTGTAATTTAAAGTAACTTTTCTATTTTAATATATTTTAAAATGTGCTTAAAATATATTCATATAATGGCAAACTGAATTTTTAGCAGCCGTTACTTCTTCTTTGTCACATGACCCTTCAGAAATCATTCTAATATGATGATTTGCTTCTTAATTATTATTGGTGCCCAATTATTAATAATGGTTTTTATTATTATCCTCATTGAACAGTTTTTGCTGGATAATATTTTTGTGGAAACCATGATACATTTTTTTCAGGATTCTTTGGTGTACAGAAAGTTCAATCATTTATCCTTGCATAAAAAAAGTATTAATCTCTCTTGAAAAAAACCCACTTCTTTCAAAAACATTAAAAAATCTTAATTAGTCAAGTCAAGTCAAGTCTGCTTTATTGTCAATTCTTCCACATGTACAGCACATACACACAGAGAATTGAAATTGCGTTACTCTCAGACCCTTGGTGCATACAGATAACACTAACAGTAGAACATAAATACAGATATACAGATTGAATATAAAATACAACTATACAAATATACAAATAAGGTAAAATGTAAAAAAATATATAAAAAAAGATATATATATAAAGCAGCACACGGCAGATAGAGTGCAAACCAGTGAAGTAAACAACAGTGCAGATATAATGATTTGTAGTGCAAAAAGAGCTTATTTAGACTGATTAAAGTGACTGTGTGTGTGTATTTGGGAGGGGGGAGTGGGAGA